ACTGTGAGGCTCCTTTTTTTAAATTTACCTTCAATTTTAGTACAAAAAAGGACAAATATACCACTTTTCCCGTATTTTCAAGCAGTTTTTTGAGACATTGACCTTTCTATGGATTTTTTTCGTATAAAAAGTGACATTGAAAAAAAACGGGCTCTCACAGTGTCTGCAGTTTTTGACGCTCTTTCAAACAAAAAAAAATCTATTAGTTCAATGAAGTTCCACAGAGAAATCTTGAAAATAAAAAGTGCTATTTTTGACCCTTTTTTGGCCATTATCTTGCTGATGCGTCGTAGGATCGGGCTGAAAATTTTATCATAGCTTATCTATCATAGCCCCAAAATATCCTGAAAATTTCATGCGATTCTTACGAGCCGGGGTTGAGATCGATTTTTGAGGGGGGGAGGCCTTAATACAAAACCTGAAATTTTGTTGGTTGTGTAAAAATACTTTGCTGAACGATAGATTTTGTTTGTTACAGCTGGATTGCTTATTTCAGACTGTGGAGGAACTTCTTTTACGATAATATTGGACATCTATTATGGGAAGAGTTTGGATCATTATGGTATGGAATGGAAAGAATGAAAGAAGTTGACCGTAATCTCGTGGTTATGCATGGCTCTAAGATATCTCAACACCCCTTGTTTCAAAGAGTTAAGAATGACACCTTAGGGTCAATAACTTCAATGCCCATGGTAATAATGACACTTTGTTTCGTCTCTACTTGACAATGTCTTCCAGTTCTTTCAGGTTGAACTGGATTCTTATATATCATCGTTTGATAAAACGTATATTTGTTTCGATCGGCTGATTGTCGGTGGAGGAATTTCTGTGTTTAGGTCAAAATCTATCCAGGAAAATGACGGACGCGAACAAATGTTCTACAACTGGAGATCAAAAATAATTGAATATTCAGGTAATGTAGAAGAACTTGTAATTGATGTATGTATCTTTCTTATCTCTATTTCTTTATTGTTGCACGAAGAACATGGAAAAGTTAGTTCGTCATTGTTAGCATTGACTATTGTAATCTTGCAGTGCTTTTCCAAACAACAGTAGAGAAAAAACTGATAAAACAAGCCTCAAATGTGATTATGGTTTGACTCTTTATCCATTTAAATGAATCTGTACCTTCGGGCTACTTTTGTCATTCGAAAATAAGTTTTTTCATTTTCTTTCCTTGAAGTAATCACGAACACTCAGTTACTTTCATAAGATAATTCAGTAATCTAAACAACTTACGTGATATTAAAATCTGCTCTTGCAAGGCGACGGAACAAAGTCTGCTTCTAGACTTTGTACTGTCTAGAAGCACTCTATGAAAAATAACTGAGTGTTCGCAATTACCTTAAAAAATAAATGATTGCTTCTTTTTATTTGGGTAATTCTTCTTTAATTAAATATATGTTTGGATAATTCGAAACCCATCCAGGGGATAGAGCAGGAAATTCTCCACAAAACTATAAAATATACTATAATTTTCTCTTAAAAAAGTTAAAAGGACGCAGGACGATAAGAGGCAAAATCGACCCACGCTCAAATCAGTCTTACGTTAACTCATTCGATGCAGTTTTATCCACGCTTAACGCTAACATATTTTTAAATCTTAAAAATCCTTTTCAGCGCCCTGGAAACCTTTTAGCAAAAAAAACTCTTCTCGCGTTAAACGTGATTTTCACCTATCTTAGTGCTTTGAACACTCCGTTGGTCATTTTTCTGCCATAACGGAAAATTATGTATTGTTCGAAAACATACCACTGGATAGCCCTTAAAATTCTCTACAAAGTGAGCCGGTCGCAATATCCAGAGAGGTGGCGCTAGTCATGAAAGATATGGAAAAGATGCTTTTGGATGTTGTCTACGCAGTACAGTGTATCATAATCACAAGAACTCCCTTGTTTTTGGCGTTTTGGTAAAAGCTAGAACCAAGCTGAATAATGTTTTGAATAGCCCGAAGATTTTTCTGTCAGATGAAGTGCATCTCCCGGCATTCTGTAGTGCTTTTGCACCGGAATATTTTGGTAACTGTCACGCCCTTTGTAGCTAGCAGTAAATCGATGGCAGTTACGTGAAAAAGGATCATAGAATGCCGGGAGATGTCTTATTTTGCTCAGAATTCTTCGCTCTATCAGGCTATATGATTTGCAAAATTTTTTGACCCAAAACTAAGGACTTGGTTTTCCACCGGTCAGACTTCCAGAAGCTCTATTATCAACTTTTGTCATGAAACGGCGACTTTGTAGAGAATTTTAAGGGCTATTTAGTGGTATGTTTTCGAACAATACATAATTTTCCGTTATGGCAGAACGGAGTGTTCAAAGCTCTAAGATAGGTGAAAATCATTATATCGGCAACTATCGGCAAGTATTTCAACTACTGACCAATGTGGGGATATTTTTAAAAGACTTATTCGTAGCTGATTTTGAAGCTCATGAAATTCTCTATCGAATGATATATAAAGTGGAGTGGTTAACGGGAAGATTAGCCACTATTAAAGAGATGAACGACGTTGACCTACTGGTTTCCTAGGATTCTACCGAGTATTTCGGATCTTAAAGTACCCGGTTACATGTTTTTAAGACTGTCTTATATATCATTTTGTAGCCCGTGAAATTCTCTACCGCATGATGTGCAAAGTAGAGTGGTTAACGAGAATATTAGTCAAGGTTGTAAACATGAACGACGTTGACCTACTGGTTTCGTGGGATGCTACCGAGTATTTCGAATCTTGAAGTATCCAGTTACATTTTCCTAAGACTATCTTATACATCATTTCGTTGCCCGTGAAATTCTCTATCGAACGGTGTATAACAGTTGATATTTGCTCTGGATGAAACAGGTTGAATAATGTAAATACTTTGAGTAAACGTCGTTTAACGCGAGTCGGGTTTTTTTTTGCTAAAAGGTTTCCAGAGGCGTTGAAAAGGATTTTCAAGATTTAAAAGTATGTTAGTGTTAATCGTGGATAAAAGTGCATCGAATGAGTCACTACCAAAATGTTCGACTATCGAACGTGTTTAGACGAAGATTGTAAATACGATAGTTTATATTTTTCTCATTGGAGATATCGGCGAGCGCTCTGTTGAGGAACTATTAGGACAAAATACCATAAATCTTATACAGATACATCCCAGTTAGGGCTGTAACTTTCTGTCTACTTTGTTTACACCGTGAGGAACAGCATTTTTGCGTGAAAAAAACTAAATCAGTCTGCTACAGAGGCCACGTTAGTAGAAGTATGCTTTAGTTAGAGAGTAAATAAGATATAATGGTAACCAAAACTTACGTTCTGGAATAAAACAAATATAAAGTTCCTGCTCTAACTCAAACTTTTCTTTACACAAATCCAAGTCAGGTCCAAGTTCACTTTTCTACGTTCAGACTCACAGGTCAAGATTCAATTGGATAGGTCAGGATCAGTCCAAAACAAAATTGCTCATTTCTCCTAGCCAATCAAACGCTCTGAAAATTAGACTTTGTAGAGTCTTCCACAATTTTTTCACGTATAATTTAGTTGTACAACTACTTGTAGGCTTAAGTCCTGATTATGTACCGACCAAGCATTACATTGTTATTACAAATAAATTGGGCAACCGTCGTATTGCGAATTTGAAGGACGTTGAAACCTTTGTTCGATCAAAGTATTCAACCGTTGCTCCGGTAGATATTATCGAATGGCATCGCATTCCTTTCAAAAGACAAATTGGTATACTACTGAAGACGACAATATTAATTACACCATGTAAGGGTCTCATCTCATTCTAGGCGCACTAAAAACTAGGAATTGTCACGACGTCGTTTCAGATTATCTTTCTTGCCTTTTAGGTGGTGGCGTTTCGATGATCATTCCATTTCTACCGCGTGGTGCGCATACAATTGTTATGGATTATTTTGTGAGTAAATATGATCATCCATCTTTTGGTTTTAAATTGAATCAGTCGGCTTCAATGGAAGGAGCTTTTCTGAATCATATAACACATGTTCAAAAGTTATATTATCAAATATATAATGAAAACGACTACGTATTCGATTTCCCAAATAAAACGAACACTCGAGATGTTGCATCAATAATAATTAACATGACAAGATTACAGTTGTTAATTGATAAAGCTTTGGAAGACATGCAGCCATAGATAAACTGCTCTTGTCTTGATTCTGGATATCAAATTACTTTTCATATGGACTAAGAAAGAACATGATGCTGTGATACAATCTAACCAAACAGTATTTTGAAGTACGCCTGAAAAACTGAACGGAAATAATGACACGAAGACTGACCATTCAAATGCCTCAACTCAAGAGATCATAGCTAAATAAAGTCACCTTCACACTAAAATAAAAATCTTTCGAGTACAGACATGCAGTCTAAGTTAAAATAAGTTTTCATCGAAATGGTGTCCGGTTATGAGACATTTTTTTGAAATCAACGATTTGCTGTGTTTAACAGAATAAGCACCACGCTGATAATAGTTCAGTGCGTAGGGTGAGGGTAGCAGTGGTTGGATGGTGTTTATTCTATAGAAGTACCAGTAAGTTATATAGTGAAGAGGCAAATTTGATGCGTTTTATAATATCAATCAGATGCCTCGAAAATGTATCTGAATAACACACTCGCGGTGGAGTGTGCTTTACTTCGCGGAGTGGCTGGAGTGTTGGAGTACGCCTTCCCCCCCTTGTTGTAATCCCCCCAGTCCCCGTTAGACTTCACCCACAGTGTGCACTTTTAGCCGAGCAACGACACAGGAGGTTGCTCTGGTGAAAAGTATCGTCAAATTAACGTTCAAACTGATTCTCTGTAAATTGCACCGACACTCTCTTCTCTTGAAGCTTTTTAAATTTTGTAAACCTATCTACTTTCTTTTGTAGACAACCATTTTATTTCATTAGAAGCACCACTAATCGAGCTTTGATTGTCATTTTCTGGGAAAAATCTCAGTAATTTATTGGACGTCAAAATTCTAAAAAAATGAAAATCAACGAAAACTTTTGAGACAGATATCGTTCGACTCAGCTTTCGACGCTGACTCCGAATATGATATTTTAATTGCATAAAAAGTGAGTTCTGGTTGAAAAAATAGAGACTTTCGGGCAGAATTTCGATGTTGTCGCTCCTGAAACAGAAAAACTGTATCTTTTTAGTAATAAAGCAAAATAAAAAAAAGCGATCCGTACTTTTAAAGCTCGATTAGTGGTGCTTCTAATGAAATGAAATGGTTGTCTACAAAAGAAAGTAGATAGATTTACAAAATTTAAAAAGCATCAAGAGAAGAGACCCATTACTAGAATTTGACATACGACGAGTACAGAAAGGGCGATTACACACTGGAAACTTCGAACCCATCTGCTGCAGGTTTGATTGCTGATCACGAATACGGCCTCAGATTCGAAGAAAGAGTATGATTGGATCAAAAAAATGAAATTTTACGAAATTTAAAGAGAAAAAAGGGTCTAAAAATTGATCACTAGTTTTGAATGCACGGCAATTTCGGGTACCACGCCACCATGCTGAAGAACTTCCAAATAGTGCGTTCTGTAGCTCTATCTTCTGCTCAGTTGATAGCAAGATTTGGCGCATGGTCACATCTTCTGTGATTGACATACGTCAATACATTGAGACCCATCGTCATCGACTGTTCGTAAAAGATGATGCCAAGTCGATGAAAAATCGTCTTTATCTCTGTTAAGATGAGACGGTTGGAGATGTTAAATATATGAGCTTGTAGCCCGTGAAAAGCTCCACAAAATTGCACATAAGAAATATGTTTCACAGATTCTTCGACTGATACTGGGGTAATATTGATCGACCATTGATTATGATTTGTACTGATAGCACTCCACCAGTAAATTGACTCTAGTGCGTCCAAAACTTAATGAAAACATGGTTTCCTATATACCACTCGACGCGCTTCAAGCTGCTCTTCAAGGTGCTATATTTGGTTTCTTGATTCAGGTATGGTCACCAAAGCCGACAGGGTCCTTTGTTTACTTTTGACGAATGTACAATTCTAAATGAACTAATCATTCAACATATAAATCCACAGCAATATTTTGATTACAAGAACAAGCATCGTCTTCCGTTTTGGTTCATAGTTGCACTTTGGCTGAAAGTCGGATTGGAAGTATTCATTTTATCAAAAAATCCCCATCAAACATGCTCGCTCTTACAATTACAACGAAAGATGTTATGAAAATTGCAGACGAGCATGCGAAACAGCGGATATGAGTAGTTTCTATTATGAGTAGAAGTCTACTGGATTCATCATATTCGATATATTCAGCTTCGAAGGTTTAAGGTTTTCAAAAAATTCCCAACTTGTAGTTCGATAATCTCATACACTACACGTTAGATCTTGTTCAAAATCTTTCTGTCAATACATCTTCACTCGTACTGTCATCAGCCAGAGTTGCAAAAGTCTCCTCTTTGAATCAACCAAGATTTTTGATGAAAATAATCAAAAATGGATTATTTCTCCTAGTATAGATTTTCACTCGATTCTTGCATTTTGTTCTGAAAACTAACATTGTCACGAAATTCAGCATAG